TGGACACAATATTCCAGATGTGGCCTCACCAGGACAATGTAGAAGGGAAGGAGGACCTCTCTCGATCTACTAGCTACTCCCCTTCTAATACACCCCAGGATGCCCTTGGCCTTCTTGTCCACGAGGGCACATTGCTGGTTCATGGTCATCCTGCTGTCCACTAGAACCCCCAGGTCCCTTTCTCCTACACTGCTCTCCAGCAGGTCAGTCCCCAGCCTACACTGGCACATGGGGTTGTTCTTTCCCAGATGCAAGACTCTGCACTTGCCCTTCTTGCATCTCATAAAATTTTCCCTGCCCAACTCTCCAGCCTGTCCAGGTCTCTCTGAATGGCTGCACAGCCTTCTGGTGTGTCAGCCACTCCTCCCAGTTTTGTGTCATCAGCAAACTTGGTGGCACTGCACTCTGTTCCCTCATCCAGGTCACTGATGCACATACTGAATAGCACTGGTCCCACCACCAGTCCCTGAAGGACTCCACTAGATACAGGCCTCCAACTAGTCTCTGTCCCACTGACCACAACTCTCTGACTTCTTTCCTTCAACGAGTTCACAGTCCACTTCATTACCCAATCATCCAGACCACACTTCCTCAGTTTAGCTACGACAATGCTGTAGGAGGCGGTGTCAAATGCTTTACTGAAATCCACATAAATTACATCCACTGCACTGTAACATCTATCCACTTGGTTATGTCTTCATAAAAGGCTACCAGGTTGGTCAAACATTACTTCCCCTTGGAAAAACCATGTTAACTGCTCCTAATGACCCTCTAATCCTTGATATGCCTAGAGACAGCACCAAGGATAAGTTGCTTCATCACCTTTCCAGGGATGGAGCTACTCGGGTTCTGCCTGTAGTTATCTGGGTCCTCCTTCTTGCCCTTTTTGAAGACCTGCAGTGACATTTGCCTTCTTCCAGCCCTCAGGCACCTCTCCTGCTGTCCATGACTTACCAAAGATGATGGAGACTGGCCTAGCAATGACTTCCACCGGCTCCCTCAGCACCTGGGGGTGCATCCCACCAGGGCCCATGGATTCACGGATGTTCAGATTGCCTAAGTGATCCCTAACTCAGTCCTCATCAACCAATGCAAACTCCTTTATCCTGACTTCCTCTATGGCCCCAGGGGTCTGGGGCTCCCGAGGACAGTCTCCAGACTGTGTGTTTCCATATATAGATCACCTATTTCCAACTGCCCTGCCATGGGCAAGGATACTTCCCACTAGACCAGGTAACTCCAAGCCCCATTCAACCTGACCTTGAACACTTCGAGAGATGTGGATAATTTCCAACATCCAGCTTTGTGATTTGTGTGCTGTAACTGAGTTGCCATACAATACAACACTACTAGTCCATCTTTTAATAGAACAATATAAACACTTTTTGTATTAAAAAAAAAAGGTTAAAAAAAATCAGAAGCTTTATCCTTGCACTATCCCTCTGGTACACAGAAATCTGAAACGACGTTTCCGATATCTTCTTTAAAAGGGGTGCTCCCAGGCAACAGCTGCAAAGCAGTATTATTTTTTAGTAATTCTGAAGGCATTTTTGAAAAGAGCTGTAAGACCGACATCGAAGTATGTTAACTACAATTTTTTTAAAAATACCTGGGACTGCATAACACAGGCCAGGTCCAGCAATCAGGACAAGGCATTTAGAAAAGCACAAGCCTGATGCACCTTCTTCACCCCTAACACCGCTTTGCTATTGTCTTTGTATTTGTATTTTATTTGACAAGGCAGCAGTTTAAGCACAGTGCAGCAAACTGTCACCGCTCGGACAAACTGTCCCTCTGCAAAAGCAGCCCTGACTGGGTGGTCATTTAGCACGATAAAAACCTTTGATTTATCCGACTCCGTATCTTCGTTAATGAGGCGTAATGTCTCATTAGCGCGCCTGTCACATACAGGCGATCTGCCTGAGCTCTTCTTTCCGCACAAAATTAGCTTTATCCGACTTTTCCACCGGTGCAAACCTTCTCCCCCAGCCCACTGCCTC